GCGAAGCCCAAGGTGTACCCTAGGCGTAACGTCCCGGGCCCCAATGTCCTCGAGCCCGAGGACTCGCTCGAGGAAGAGGCAGCCCAAGCAGCTGAAGGTGTCGAGGAAGATAGTTCCAGCTCGGATCTTCCCGACACGCGGGCGCCTCCAGCCGCGGTCAGAGTGAAGGAGGACGAGGAGCCCGCTAGTGGGGCCCAGGCCGAGAGCACAGAGGAAGGAGTCCTCGTGCTCGGCCAGTCTGTGGTCACCAGCGCGAAGGAATACCTCGCGCGGTCCGAAGCTCTTCTTAGAGCGCAGAAGCTCCAGTCGAAAATGCTGGAGGTTGCGGGAACTGCGATGGTGAAGCTGGAGAAGATCACCAAGCGTGAGGAGTCCCTCAAAACGCTGCGCCGAGAGGGAGAGAGTCGGGCGGCCGGGGAAGGCGCCGACGGGGAAGAGGTGTCTGACGATGGTCAGGACGCCCCCGGGGCTGCAGGGCCGAGCAGTTCCGCCGGGCCTTCGGGAGGCGGGGCCGCCCAGTCCGCCTCAGCCTCAGAGGAGCCTCGCCCCAACGCTGACGGCCACTACGGATGTTCGGCTCCGGGATGCGGGCTAGCCTTTGAGTCGCTGGTGCAGTATCACTTGCATCAGGCGGCCTGCCATGGCGCCTCTCTTCCGCCCAACCTGGGGATCAGCCCCTCCGCACCTCTTGACCCTTTTCGTCAGGACTGGCGGGGACGGCTGTTCCGCCGAGGAAAGGACGGTGGGTATGGGGAGGTGCCCATGCTCCGAGTGATTAGGTACCACAAAGCCAACGGGTACGATCACTCGAGAGTCCCGCTCCTGAGGCGAGGGGACCGAATCCAGCTTGAGGATGGATCGCACCACATCTATGGTGGTAGCCATCCGCCGGGGTGGCTTCGCGACGACCCCGAGCTGGACCCCCCTGGTGCTCCAGAGGGAAGCGATGGAGGGTCCACGCCCAAGAGCGAGCCCACGGAGGAGGCCGTGCCCGAGCCTCCGCGGAAGGCCGCTCCGCGCGGGCGGGCCCTCGAGCCGCCGAAGGGCGACGTCCAGCGACGCCTGGCCGAGCGTCGCTCCAAGCGAGATTACTCGCCGGACCTGGTGACGCCTCTTGACGATCTCCATGCCAAGGAGATCGACTCCTTCTTCGCGGGCGACCCAGCCGCGGATAGCCTTGACGTCATTTTGATGCGCGCCGAGGTTCGCACTGAGTCCCACCTCAAGGTTGGCCGGGAGGAGGAAGAGCCCCTGGTCAAGGAGGAACAGGAGGAGGAGGCTGAGGTCGTCAAGGACGAAGAGGTCTCGGTTGAGATGGAGGCTGCCACCGCGGATGAGGCGGACGAGGTCGCCCTCCCAGCCAACCGAGCCTACGTCGAAGGCCGCTTTTACCCCTACGGCAGCTGGCGGTGCTTCTTCTGCGAAGCCATTAACCCGGTTACCGAGGACCAGTGCCTCACCACGCACGCGGGCGGCCCGAATGCGGGCGCCCCGTGCGACGGCCGATGGATCAATGGGATCGACATCGGGTGGTGGGAGGTGGATCCCCAAACCGCGCCGGAGCAATGGCGGCGGAGGTTTTCTGCCGAAGAGCTTGAAGACCAACAAGCGCGGGCAGATGCCGCGAGGCTCCTCAGCGATGAGGAACTCGCTGAAGCCCTCCAGGCGGCCGAAGAGGCGCAGGCGGCCGAGCGCGCCAAGAAGCGGGAGCGGCGCCAGGCGGAGAAGGCGGAGCGCGATGATCACATCAGCGAAGCGCTCCGCATAGCAGGGTGGCAGTGCCCTAACTGCTATGAATGGAACCTTTCATTCAGGCAGCTGTGCTTTAGGTGCAGCACACCCCTCCGCTTGGCAGAGGTCGTGTCCCGCGGGATCCCGGATCCGCGGCGCGGCGAACAGAGGGACTCGGGCTCCGAGAGCAGCCAAGATGAGCTGGAGTACGAGATCCTTCTGGCCAATCGCGCGATGGATCAGGAAACGATCCAGCCTCTTCTTAGAAGCAAACACAAGAAGAGGGGCGGCAAGAGACGTCGCGAGGAGGCGACGCACGGCAAGGGCCGCGACCCGTGGGGTGCTTGGGCAGACGCCCGTGGCAAGGGCCAGGGCAAGCCGAAGGGCAGAGGCAAGTCCGATGCCAAGGGCAAGCCCAAGGGGAGGGGCAAGTACGCCTGGGGCGCCTTCGCCGCGGGCATTGTTGCCGCGCTCCAACCCCGCCCAAGCACAAGCTGGGTCCCAGCTTTCCCGTGCGGGTCGGCTCGGCCGCCGCCGAGTGTTCCGCTTCCGCCGCGGACCCCCTTTTTCCTGGGTCGCGGGCTCCTCAATCGGTTGATGCACGCCCTCAACGGGAACATCAACGGCTGGTGGGGCCTGGCGGCTGCAGCGTCGGCGCCGATTGCCTTGCAGTTGCACCGCGGGGTCGTGCATGTTGTCGAGGACTCCATGCACGCGGTTGCAACGGTGTCGGCCGACGTTGTTGAGGAAATCGGCCATGGGGCCAGGCGGACCGTGTGGGTCGCCGGAACAGCCATCACTCTGGTAGTAGTGATCTTGTGCGGTGCTGTTCTGTGGTACGTGAGTCGTGCCGTTGCCAATCGCATTGCGCATATGCGACATGGCAACACCGCGGCCCCTGAGGCGCGGCTGTCTCAACTCCTTGGCTCTGAAGCGACGTTTGAGGTCGCGAGCACCAAGAAAGGGGTGACCCATAAGGTTTGGGTGCACCTCAAGGAGGAGACAGCTGCCTGTGGCTGTCGTGCTTACCTGGCAGAAGGACGCTGCGGGCATTGCGATGCCGCAATGGACACCGCTCGTTCCTTAGGGTTTTTGCACGCGGCCCAGCGAGGCGCGGGTCCTGCGCTCACAGACTCCATTCGGAGTACCGCCTCCGATGCCCTAGCTAAGGGTAAGGTGGTGTTGGGTTTGGGGAACAGTGAAGGGTGTTTCTCCCAACTCGCGGCCAAGAGCCGCGGGCTCTCCTGCTTTCAGGGGCTCGCGGGTCGTGACCTGGCCGCGGCCCCAGCAAATGGAGCGAGCGCAGCCCACGCACAGTCCGGCTCCGTGCAACGTGCCGCCACTGCCACTGTGGCGCGCACGCCAGGCCGGAGGAACAAGGGCCCAGCCCCCGCTAGGAGTTCTCCAGTCAAAGAAGCGGAATTCCTTGCGGGCGGGCCATACATTCAGGCCGCCCAAACGCTGCTTGGGTCTGGAGCAGCAGAGGATGTGATCTACATCCGGGCTTACAGCTTAGATTGCCCATCCTGCATCGAGGCAATCGAAGCGTCGCTTGGCAAGGGCGCAAGCGTTCGGATTGTCGCCGACATGGGACAATGCCACCGCACCAAGCTTCAGTGGCAAGCGTTGAAACGCTTGGCGGCCGCAGGTGCCGAGGTGAAGGTGGGTTGCGGCACATCCTTGCGCGACGCCTATGCTCGCGACGGCCGCGGGGCTAAGGTAGGCACCGGGATTCAAGGGCTGCACCATGCCAAGGCCCTTTGCCTACTGCGGCCTGACGGCGCGGTGGTGCTGATTGGGAGCCTCAATTTTACCACAAGCAGCAAAGCCAATGCGGAGGCAGGGCTTAAGCTTGAGGTCCCCAAGACGCACCCTGTCGCGCAGTCCTACGTCGAGGATTTCCAGAGGGTGTCGACTGAGGCATTCTCCCTCGATGAGGCGGTTGCAAAGCGCCCTCAGTTGGAGCGAGCCAGTAGCTCCAACGTTGCTGGCAACGCCACTCGTGCCCCCAACACTGCTCCTCAGGGTATCGAGTAGGCTGCGGCCAGTTGGCGCGGCGTGGTATGTATCCACGCATTATCAGAGCAGGCGTCGCAGCACGGCACGTTGCTTCGCCAACCTTTTGCACTTTCTTTTGCGTGACTGCGGGCGAAAAGCCGCGGCAGGTTGGAAGCCTGCCCATTTTGCATTCCCCGCACTTTTCTTCTCTGCCCTGCCTGTGGCCCCTCTTGTCGAGGGTGCTCTTTTGCAGGTGCTGCGGACCGTGTCCTGGTCGCGGCAGTGCGCTCGCCGAAGCGCGTGCGAGTTGCACTGGCTGCGGCACAAGCAATGTGCGCGGCTCTCGCTGAGTCCGGTAGCCCGTAGGGTAGTTCTGGATAGGTGAGTAGCCGTAGCCGTAGCTTAGGGCCGGTAGTGTGTACAGTGTACCATTTGTACCATAGCTTTGCACTAGCAGCACAAAGACCTGCCCAGTACTCTGGAGCCTCGCCTGCCTGCACAAAGGTGAGCGCTAGCGACTTGGGGTGGTTTAGGGTCGTAGAGGGCTGCTGTCGTCGTGCGTCCGTTTGGTAGTGCGGGCTGCCGCCCAAGCCGCATGCCAATGCGCATGATGTGCGGGCTCTACCAGGGTCGCACGCGACACCCTCGCCCTACCCCATTTGCCGCGTTGCTGAAGTGCTTGACGCACTATGAGCTCTTGGTGAGCCGGAAGCCTCGGCTGAGGGGCGAATGTGAGCAGGTCAAAGCATGCATGGAGTGCTTGCTTAGTGCTAGTGCAGCGTGTTGTTTTCCTTTGCATGTGTAGTTTTGCAATTCGTAACAATGCCAATGTTTTGGCTCAAGTACCGAGCTTGTGCCTTTGAGCACGGTAGTTTCGTACAGTAGCTCCTAGGTTGCTGTGCGGTCCGACCGGACGCACTCAGGCGTAGCTGCACAAGTGCTTGAACTCGCGAAGTCGTAAAACAGCGTGACCGGGCTGTGATTGCATTGGCTTAGTGCAAGTCCAGTGCTGGTCGACTTCACAGACGCTGCCGAGCCCGCAAAGGTATAGACACAGTATCGTCTGCTATGCCGCATCCCAAACAGATGAGGTGAACTTCGGCAGAACGGATGCGCTTTCACTTCTCGGTCTCGGCCCAGTGAGTTCTCAAACAACCATCCAGGCTTCTGCGAAAAAACGAAGTTTTCGAAGCTGGACATCAACAATATCCCAGAGCACGGTTCCCCCCTACAATTTTCACTTGTAGGTGCTGTCATCTGCGGGCCCCGCTATGGCGCTGTCAATGCAGGGCTACGTCTGGGCAGCCCCGATGAGGTGGCAGATGCGAATTGTGCAGGTGCAACCTGCTAGCGCCCCGACCCATGCTTGGGGCAGGCAGCCAGCACCAGTTCTAGTTTCCCGCCAGACAACTCGCGTGATGGCAAGGCCGTTGCCGCCAGCACCGGTCGTTGTGGCTCGGCGCACTATTCGCGTCGTGATCAAGCCAGCGCAGGTGGTGGTGAGGGCAGCTGCGCCAACGCAGCTGCCGCACCTGCTGGGGTCGCCCAGGGCACCATCTGCATCACACCCCGTGAAGGGGCCCAAAGCTGGAGTGGGGAAGCCTGCCCCACATGATGTGACGGCCCCAAATGAAGTGACTGAGACGGGGCCGCCGCAAGCAGGAGTGGGCGAGCCCAATGCAAATGTGACGGCGCTACATGATGTGGCCCCAAATGAAGTGACTGAGACAGGGAACACGGAGGCAGTTCTCGAAGCTTCTGCCCCGGTTTTCGAGCTGGTCCACCCAAAGGGTCGGCCTGTCTCGTATGGCCCGGCAAGGCCATTCCTAATCCTAAAAGCTGAGGAAGATTGCCCCCAACCCAAGACCGACGTGCCCAACGAGCCCGCTCCGAAGCCTGCTCCGAAGCCGGCTCCGGAGCCGGCTCCGCCAGCAGAGGTGAGCCGCCCGCCGCAGGAGCCACCTGAAGAACTACCAGGCGAGGCAGAGGCCTTGGAAGCGCTGAAGGCGCTGATGGCGGAGCTCGGCGGAAAGGGCTTCAAGGTCCCCCAGAAGCCGACGGGCGAACCAGAGGCGGCGGGGAGGGTGCAGGGTAAGTTAACCAAGATTGCTCAAAGCACGCAGAATCCTCCAGTGTAGGCTGCACGGTGCTGCATGGAAAGCCTATACCGAATCGTGTCCGATTGTTTTCTCTCAGTATAGCTAAGTTTTCGTTTCGCATGCCCCAAGGTGGGAGACCTCGTGGTGCTCAGCAGCACGATCAAGCCGGAAAGCTTGCGGCTCCGGTACGCCGTGATTCTGCAGGCTGCAGCCGCAGCAGCCAGCAGTGGTTTTACTGGGATTTACTAGGTGAGTCTAATTGTAGCAGGTTCGAGGTTGTGACATGCTCCAGCGCAGGTGCACGAGAAGCACTTCACGGCAAGAGCGCTGGCGGAAGACAAGGCAACCTGCCTCGAGGATTGTTGGCCTAACAAGGAGGACGCTGTGCTCGACAGCAAGGTCGGCCGTTTAGGCAGCCGAGTCCGCATCGTGGAAGGGCGGCGCGGCTGCATAGGAGCACTTGCCTAGGGGCCTAGAGTCTTGGTCTTTCTTAAAGGCCTTGAGCTTCTTGCATCCACGCCGAGGACCAATGGGGGCTGCAGTGGCAAGGTGGCCAAGGTGCCCGACCACCCGATCTTCCCGACCTTCAGACACTTCAGGCGCGCGTGCCGGGCTGTGCGGTGGAGGGGGACATGGTTTACTCACTCTCTACAGAGAGGTACGCTGTGGGGCCCCGCGTTCTTGCATGTCTGTTCTGTTCCAGTTCTTGTGTGTCTGCAGTGTTTTTTGACGTTCAAATCTTTGAGAAAAGAAGTAAAATGATTTTTTCTTGCTTCGTGTTGCCGGAAGTTTACTCATCATGGGCACGTCTGCCAGCGCCATGGTCGAGAGGAGGGGCAAACATTTCTTACAGTTTTTTTGATTGTTTTGCACCCCCCCGCCCCCACCCCCCACCCCCTCCTCCGGCTGGGCTTCCTGCAACCCCCCACCCTCCAACCGGACAGGGGTCTTTTGTAGGACGCCCTTCCCCCAATTCCTGCAAAGCATCCCTTGCTCACTCACATGATTAGGGAGATCCAGAATGCTGTTGCGAAACTTTTGGAAAGCATTGGGAATGCACACCAAGAGGACAAGATATCCGATGACAGTATTCTGCTTTCTCCGGAGCTTTCATGTACACAGACAAAATAACTGAACAATGAAGTTTCGGTCCTGTTGTGGACCATGCCGGCACGCGTGCATTCTCCATGCGTTTCACGCAGGAATGGCAAGCTGCAATACGTCGTCAACGTGAGCTTGGATGACGGCAGGCGCCAGTGTTCGGCTTATACGTGTTCTTTTTGCGCTCTTTTTGCGTGAAATTGCTAACAGCTGTCTAACATGGGCTTGTCATCCTGGATGGCAGGGACGAGCAGTTCCTCCTCTCGGAGCTCCGGCAGGAGCAGTAGACGAGAGATGAAAAAAGTCCCCGCTTGCAGATGTTTGATTTCTGTTCACTGTTGGCTTTGTATTGTTTTCCTCCTTTGTCGTTGTGGAGCAAAGCAGACCAGCGTCGGACAGCTCAGGCCCTGACTGTCGCTGAATGAACTGTGCGCTCGGACGCAGGCGCCACGCCAGCAGACTGCTCATTGTTCCTGGGCCTCGCTACCGCAATGAGAGTACTGCCCTGAGAGCTTTGACCCACCTACCCACCCACCCACTCACCGGCAGGACTTGGAGCCTCGGGCGGAAGATCGGGTTGGGTCAAGGTTGAGCGGCAGTTGAGTTTAGGGCCTAGATTACCAGAGGGGTTGTTGGTGCAGTGGTTCAACGAAGCAACAGTACTAGTCACGTGTCACCCCCAAGAACCCAACATAGAAACCGTACCATCATGAGTCTTTCTACGTGACGGCCTCAGCCCCAGTGACGCAATGCGTGATTGCCGTGCCCAGAGTTCTGATTCGCTTTAGCCCTAAACCCGGACCCTAAACCCTCAACCCTCAACCCTAGACCTTAACCCTTACCTTTCCGAGGCCAGTCGTGCGGAACGGTCCATGGCTTCATGCCCATCGTCATCGAGTCATCGAGGCCGTTCCTTTCCCTTTCCCCCCCCGGAGCATCCGATAAAAACATGTACAGTGCACAAATGTGAATATAGCAATAAATATGATTATAAGTAAAAAGATACATAATAAAAAGAGATTTGAAAGGGCTGACGCTGCCGCCGACCCCGCAAAGGTATAGACACAGTATCGTTTGCTACGTCGCGTCCCAAACATCGGTATAACGGATGCGCTTTCACTTGTCGGTCTCGGCCCAATGAGTTCTCAAACAAACCATCTAGGCTTCTGCGAAAATACCCAAGCCCCCGAAGCTGGACATCAACAATATCCCAGAGCACAGTGCTTTCCGACAATGGTCACTTGTAGGTGCCGTCATTTGGCCCGCGATGGCACTGTCAATGCAGGGCTACGTCTGGGCAGCGCCGATGAAGCAGCAGATGCCAATGCAGGTTGCGGCCCCGACCTATGCTTGGGGCTGGTAGCCAGCACCAGTTCTGGTTTCTCGCCACACAACGCGCGTGATGGCAAGGCCGTTGCCGCCAGCACCGGTCGTTGTGGCTCGGCGCACTATTCGCGTCGTGATCAAGCCAGCGCAGGTGGTGGTGAGGGCAGCTGCGCCAACGCAGCTGCCGCACCTGCTGGGGTCGCCCAGGGCACCATCTGCATCACACCCCGTGAAGGGGCCCAAATCTGGTTTCTGCGAGCCTGCACCACATGATGTGACTGCTCCAAGTGATGTGACTGAGACAATGGAAGAGGCGAGGCATGCCCCAACTGTGACGGCCCCTGCATGCTGAGACAGGGAAGACAGGGAATTCCCTGTCTCAGCATCACTTGGGGCCGTCACATTTTGGAGGCTTGGCCTCTTCCATTGTCTCATCACATCAGAAGCAGTTCTCGAAGCCGCTGGAGCTGGTCCACCCGAAGGGTCGGCCGGTCTCGTATGGCCCGGCAAGGCCATTCCTGCAAATTGAGGAAGGTTGCCCGCAGACAGACACTGTTGCGAAACTTTTGGAAAGCGTTTGGGAATGCACACCAAGAGGACAAGATATCCGATGACAGTGTTCTGGTTTCTCCGGAGCTTGCATGTACATAGACTAAAAAAAGCTGAACAAAGTTTCGGACCTGTTGTGGACCATTTTTGTGAAGAGGGATGTTTCGTTTATAGACTATTTTAGATGCTGCATGACGGCCTGAAACCTTTTTTTGCAACAAGGTCATCACTCATTGATAAACGATCCAGCATCATAAGCCGCACATTTGAGATTGGTCTGGTGCAGGCCTTCTAGTGAACATAAGGGCGGTTTATCATCATGGAATGTAACGGATCTCCCACAAGTCACAAGGTTTTGTCTTTGTTGCTTCTGCTGCAACTGCTGCTAGAGAAACCAAACCTCAGCCTTGTTCCTACACAATCTGATTCTCGTTGTATGTAAATTATCCGAGGAGCTGCAGTTTCCAGGGCTCAGGGTTCATCTGTCGTGACATCTGTCGTTCATGGCCACTTCCTTCGATGTCGCCGTGGTGGGTGCGGGTCTGGGAGCCTTCCATGCAGCAGAGGAGATTGCTAAGAAGAGCAAAAGCACCAAGGTGGCGTTCATTTTCGGCTATACCTTTCAGGAGTTCCCACTCGCGGCAGCAATGTACTTGAACAATCCAGATGAGCACGAGAAGTGGACCTGTGGCATTCCAGAAAAGTGGCAGCAGAGGTGGCCCAATGTCCAATACTTCTTGAGCTCTGCAGAGAGGATTGACTGCGACAAGAAGGAGATCAGGCTAGTGAACAAGGGACCAGATGCAGGAGCATTGATTTCATACAAAGCTGTGATTCTGGCCACGGGCAGCAAGAGTCCCCTGATCTCTCCTTCTCCAGGCATGTCTTTGTCAGAGCGTATCGCAGAGGTGCAAGCTTGTGGGAAGGCCCTCAGGAGTGCCAAGACTGTGATCTTCAACGGATCCGGCCTGGTGGGTGTTGAGTCTTGCAAGCATTCAGCAGGCTTTTAGGTCCAAGATGACAGAATTCGACAGGAAAGAAGACACCAAAAGGAAAGGGCAGCATGGGCAAGCCCGAATGTGTTGAGACATTCTTCGACACGAGCCGATATGGTATTCGTAGTCAGATCTATCTATGATTCAGGTCTTCATGGTTGATTTGACAGTCCCTCTCACCACCGGATCGGGATGTGCTAAGGAAATGTGTGGAGACTTCCGAGTGCAGAACGGCTACTCTGCACGCATCATTTTGCTTTCTCGTTCCGGCAAGGTCTTGGACACAGACTTTGGGGAAAAGTCTCAGTCACCCAATCCGGCAGTCGTCCAGAGGGTCACAGACATCCTGACCAGGAAGTTCAAGGTCGAGGTGAAGCATGGATCTGTGTCAGATCCCAAATTCTCAGATGCAATCCTATCTCCTGGCAGCCTGAAGCTGGATGATGGTGAGTCTTTGGACTTTGATGTCTACATTCCTTGCTTTCCGGTGGGCCCCAATACCGGCTCCCTAGTGTCTTCCAAGAGGGACTTGTTGGATGCCAAAGGTGCTTTACTCACCAATGAAAGCCTCCAATCCACCAGTCATCCAGAGGTCTTCGGCGTGGGGATCACCAGCACGAAGGTCCCTGGTCACCCAGTCTCCGCACGCATTACTGCAGCAAGTCAGCACTGTGCGCTTCAGGCACTTGCGGTCATTGAAGGCAAGCCGGTGCAAGTTTTCAAGGACAAAGGTGCCCCACCACCTATGGCACACCCCATGAACGTGAAGATCGGCCATGGTCCGGGTGGCTACCTGATTTGGACATCTCTCCCGGGACCTGCCAAAGTTTGTTGCTGCCAGTGCTGTCAAGGTGGCTTCCCTTGTTGCCCACCTCCCTGCTGCTGGTGCTGCGTCGCCGGGTGCTCTGGCGTTTGCGGCACATGTGGCGGACCCGCTGAGGGTGAGGCACCAGCCATTTTCATGAAGTCCTTGTTGCAGAAGTTCCAGATCCATGGCTACAAAGGTTTTGGCGAATATGGTGGAGAAGTACCCAAGCAAGATAAGATGACTTGATGTTAGAACGCGGCGAGTTCTTTGACAAACTCAAAGTAGTCCTCTGCTTCATTTGCATGCTGTAGTGCGGTCACTGAAACGACGGGGCCGTGCGGCAGCATTGTTTCATTTGTCAGACGGAATCCGTTCTTTGACAAACTCAAAGTAGTCCTCTGCTTCATTTGCATGCTGTAGTGCGGTCACTGAAACGATGGGGCCGTGCGGCAGCATTGTTTCATTTGTCAGACGGAATCCGTTCTTTGACAAACTCAAAGTAGTCCTCTGCTTCATTTGCATGCTGTAGTGCGGTCACTCAAACGATGGGGCCGTGCGGCAGCATTGTTTCATTTGTCAGGCGGAATCCGATGAGAGTGTTGGATCGTCGGAACAATCCCTTTGGCTTCGTACTGTAGGGGACAGGTCCAGATAGCGGCTACATGCAAAGTCTTCGATGACGTGAATTGCTGAATCATTTGTGTTGACTGAATTGATCATATGTGGGGAGCCAGAAAACCTAAACCCTAAACCCTGGGCCGTTTGGGCGTCCAAGGATTCAACCCTGTATGTGTTTACTGTAAAAAGGCCTATCAAGCCCCAAGGTAAAAGAAGCTTAGGGACATCCAAGGTATACTCTCTTTGACCCTGAACCCGTTGGACCCTAGGACCCTAAGCCCGAAAGCCTTAACACCCTAAACCCTAAACCCGAAACCCTAAACCCTAATCCCTAAACCCTTAACCCCCAAACCCCCAAACCCCTAAACCCCTAAACCCCTAAACCCCTAAACCCCTCAAACCCCTCAAACCCTAGAAGCCCTAAGCCCTGATGGTTCCTGGTCGCCCGGAGGTCGTTTGCCGTGGGCTTGTCGCTGCTCTGCTGCGCAGGCTTCTTGGATCTCTCAGATTCGGATTGATGCTTGCAGGACTATCAAGTAGGCCAGCACGCATGTCGTTTCACTACAGCACATTGGGTTCTAGGACGAAATTTGCAAAACTCTGCAAGACATGTCCAGACCAATTCAGCTTCACCAAGTCAAGCTGAAGACCACAGATCCCACGGAAAGCACACCTGCGCATTGCGTCAGTCTGTTCACTACCACACGTTCGCAAAACGGCTTGCGTACGACCACATGCTTGTCCTCAGTACGAAACGTTTAGCGCTCCGTCCGTGTGAGAGAGCGAGAGAGCACTTCGGAGTTCCTGTTTCCTTGCCTGAAGTTTCGGATTTGGCCTTATGTGGGTCGAAGTTAGGAAAGGACAGGTGTGGAGTCTTATAGTGAGCGTCCTCGCGCAATCATGCCAATGGATGAAGCTTCAAGATTTGTGACCATCGCGCCAGATGGTGGCGATTCGCCTGGTCCAAAGTCGGTGATGCCTGATTCCGAAGTTGACGCCTTGTTGGATGAAATAGCTGCAAAGCCACCGAAACCAACGCACTCTAAAGCCGCATCCAGTGTTGGCGGCCAGGCGCAGAAACTGGTGCAGGAAAAGGCTCAAGAACAAATCAAAGAGATGCAGCTAGCGGCCAGTGCGGTCGGCATCAACAAGTTGTCTGCCAGAGAGCTGCAGCTTCTCAGAGGGGAGGTGGAGTTCAGTGGCTTGGGTACTGGTGGTCACCGTGCTAAGTACATCATCGCACCTCCAGAGATGGAGAGTGCAGATGAAATCTTGCGCTGGATGTTTGTTCGCCAAGATGGATGGCGCTTGAAGCCTCCAAATCTCTTACTGTCTTGCTATGGCGGGAGGGATCACTATGTCAACTGGGCCAATTCACCAACACTTCGAAACCGAGAGGCCTGGGCCACGTCCACTGGCGCTGCTCAGGATTGGCAGTTCAGACAGAAGTTCACCAGCCGATTGTCAGAGATCTCATCAGGTGTTTGCCAAGCTGTGACGGAATGTGGGGGATGGTTTGATCTGGGCACTGGACCTAGAGGAGGCTTGAACGAAGTCTTGATGGACGGCTTAAAGGTCTATTGGTCCGCTTTTGGATGCTTGGCAGGACACAAGACCGACAACGTGGTATTCTGTGTGCGCTTTCTGCAGGACACGGAGTTCAAGGAAACCTTTCTCCAGTGTGCACAGGCTGTGCCTGCATCTGGCCCTCCTGACAAGCAGGAAGAATTGAAGGAGCGAGTGATGTACCCATCTGTCAACAGTCAGTTGTTTCCAGAGCTTGGAAGCGATCCGAAAGCGGCGGCCAGTGAGCAGGATCTCCGGGGCTTAGATCCGGATGAAGAAGACACAGGGAAGAGTGCCAAGAGTGTTGCTGACTTGGAGCTAGAGGTGCGTGCCCAAATCACGAGGCGCTTTCTCTGCAATGCTCTTACTCACATTATCTTCGTCCAAAGTCAGCAAACATTGGACAGACTAAGAATCAAGCTCCGCTCTTTGGCTACCCGGGCATCAATTTTTGCGAATGGGAATGAGGCTCTCATTCAACCTGGTGTGGATGGTAAGATTTTGATGGAGGCAGTGTCAGGCGTGCCCATCGTGTGTCTTCACAACACAGGGGGCGCGGCAGAAATGTTGGGCGCTGCAGTTCTTAGGAGACGCCAGCCCCAACATGCTGAACACTCCAAGTTTATGTACGGGTATGACCTTCCGGAAAATGTGCCTGACGATCAGTTCCTGATCCTGAATCCAGCAAAGGATTCAGTTGAAAAGGTCATCAACAAATTGACGCTCGTTCTGTCGACGGTCCAAGATGATGAAATGATGGAGATTGGTTTTGCCAAGAGCGAAGAGAATCGGCTTCGATATGCTTGGGAACAATATTTGCTCTATGCCTACAACGCGACGATTTTCCGAAGAAGAGCTAGAGTCCTCCAGTACAGTGCCCTGGTACTTTCGGTTGTGGTGACCCTCGTTGCCATCTTGTATCGCGAAAGCACGACGAACCCAAACTCACCTTTGCAACAGGAAGAGCTCCGAGTGAGTCTGCTGGTCTTGCCCTGCGTCAGTGCGTTCATTCTGACCGCAATCAGCCGATTGAACTTCGTGAACAAATGGGCAGCTTTGGAAAGCGGCGCTGTAAATGTGAAGAGCGAGACTTGGTAGCGCAGTGGTACCCTTTCACTTCTTTTTCTTCAATGTTCTTCTTTACAGTAGCCAACCCCAAAAAAAGGGCGCCCTTATTCTTACAATATGGTTACTGGGCTACCAAGGAGATCTATCAGTACCGCTGTCGTGTGCTATATTACCAGCCCCGGAAGTCCAACGACATGGACATCGAAGATCGCGTGGAGGAGCTTTGCGACAGTCCTCCCAGCACTGCTGACCTAGCCACGCTAGCGGCTCTGAAGAAGAGGCAGAAGAAGGCTGAGGCAACAGCCCCGAAGGGAACAACTCGTCGAGGCACCTTCTCTGCAGCCTTAGCCCAAATCAACTCGGATGCCACAGGCTCTGACGTTCGGGCTGATTACTTGTCGATGCCGCCAGCTTCAGCCATGACTAAACTTCAGGCGAACTTCTATGACTGGGACAAGGTCCTTGCCTCCTACAAAGCGCGCACCTCCTCCACTTCCTACTTGTGTTGCAAGAGGCTCTGCAATCCCTGTAGACGTCCTTCTGCGAAGGTTATGGATGAGGAAGGCCCATGGAGTCAGGTTGGCAGCGATTTCCACCCAAACCCCTTTGCAATCGACGACGACTATTTGAATGATGATGGAACATCTCTGGTGACGGCCGAGGACTACATCCATTTCAGATTCTTACCCATGCTTCAGTACTACTCTTGGCGTAGCCGTGACCTTTCAAGGAAGGTGTTGGTTCTTCAAGTCTTGACCTACTTCCTGACTGCAGCACTGGCGGCTGCAACCCCGCTCGGCTACGAAGCTTGGTCTACATGCTACATGCCCAGTCCCCAAATCCGAAAACTCAAACCTTCAATCTGAGACTTAAGCCCTAATGCTAGGCCTTAAACTCCTTAAGGAAGCTTGGATACCAGTGCTGGTGTCCTTCATCTCCTTTTTCACCGGGATCATGGAATTTGAGGCCTTGTCGTCTCAACTTCGCAATGTCAATCAATCTTTGGAGTCGCTCAAGAACCTTCATTTCTGGTGGCAGAGCCTCTCAATGGTCGAGCGACGAATGCCCTCCAACAAGAACGAACTCGTGGCTTGCACAGAGGCGACGGCTGACAGCGAGATTTCTGCATGGAAGAAGACATTGAAAGTCAAGAGTGTGACATCTGGAGGTTCAAACGGCGAAGAGGAGGCTGAGGAGGATTCGGATTGATGCTTGCGGGACTATCAAGTAGGCCAGCAGGCATGTCGTTTCACCACAGCACATCAGGTGCTAGGATGAAATTTTGCAAGACTTTGCAAGACATGTCCAGACCAAGTCAGCTTCACCAAGTAAAGCTGAAGATCACAGATCCCACGGAAAACAAACCTGCGCATTGCGTCAGACTGTTCACTACCACGTGTTCGCAAATTGGGTGCGACTACATGCTTGTCCTCAATATCAAACGTTTAGCGCTCCGTCCGAGTGTGAGAGAGAGAAAGAAAGAGCACGACGCAATGAAATGGAGGATTTCTTGTTTCCTTGCCTGAAGTTTCGGATTTGGCCTTATGTGGATCGAAGTTAGGAAAGGGCAGGTGTGGAGTCTTATAGTGAGCGGAATAGCATTACGGTTGACGTGCTGTGCAAAACCCCAAGCCTCAAATCCCCTGCGACCCTCGACCCTCAAAGCCTCTCAGCCGAGGCGGTCGCGGGAACGTGATCGAGAGTGTGATCGGCGATCGTGATCGGGAAGCTCGTCGCAGGGTAAAATCGTGTACGAAACTTGTCGTGTTAGTTGTGTTGGTTTGGATTCCCTGTCTCACATGGTTTTCTTGGCGATTGATAATGCACGACAATACGATTTTACTCGGCGAGCTTAAGCATCTGAAAAGGTATGACCATCGATAAGATTTGGTTTCAAACGAAGATAAAAGGTTCGGCTTGTGCTTGCCTTCGACAAAGAGACTGAGGCTCCCAATGCCGATATGATGTGGAAATAAGTCTAATAGTGGACTTCGCATCCCGACAATTACGATGACAAAAGAAAGATTTAATCGAGGGTCCCCACTCCCCAACGGCAAAAGGACCCGAATTACGCGGTGGAACGAGGGCCCGATTTATAGATGAAACACCATTTTGCAGAGAAAAACGTCCAATTGAATTAGAACGATCCATATTACTAACCCGACGCAAGAGGTTTGTGTTCTCAAAAATACCAATTAAGAAAAGATTTATCTCGACTCTCAAATCTACTCTATAAAACGCTACGGTCAAACCAGCCCTATGCGGTGCGTCACGCCTCGGAGTGCCCCAGCCCCAAAATTTTCCGGAAATTTCTGGACCCCGGCGAGCAAGCCGCTTTGGCCTACCCGGGACCCAAAATTTCCGGGAAATTTTGGGGCCTGGGCGGTGCCCTTTCAAAGGCTGCGCCTCTTCGACGGCCGCAAGCCGGATTCGCTCCCCTAAATTTCTGGAAAATTTCTGGTTCCGGGTAGCCCGAAGCCTCGGTCCCTAAATTTCCGGAAAATTTGCTTCATCGCTTTCCTAAATTTTCCGAAAATTTACACACCCAAACTTTTCAGGAAATTTAGGAAACGGATGCAGCCTGATCATGTTCAGAAGCCACGGCCCAGCTCCCTAAATTTCCGGAAAATTTAGGGTGCTGGGTGGCCGAAAATGTCGAAGCATTGTTGACCGCTTGAACCGTTGAGTTCAGGCGTTGATCATTTGCCATGTTGCTGCATGCTTTCATTGCATGCTTTCATTGTTTTCAATCGCGCTTTGTTTTGTGGCATTACAAAGCTAAAATATTAAACAGGACTTTTACTTCACTTCCAAGATGAGCGCATCACCTGGCATTACCAGGATATTACGAGCGTGCTTTGTTTTATGGCATTACAAAGCGCATTACCTGGCATTACCAGTCGTCGTCGTCGTCGTCGTCGTCGTCGTCGTCGTCGTCGTCGTCGTCGTCGTCGTCGTCGTCGTCGTCGTCGTCGTCCGTCGTCGTCGTCGTCGTCGTCGTCGTCGTCGTCGTCGTCGTCGTCGTCGTCGTCGTCGTCGTCGTCGTCGTCGTCGTCGTCGTCCGTCGTGCGTCGTCCGTCGTGCGTCGTCCGTCGTGCGTCGTCCGTCGTGCGTCGTGCGTCGTGGGTCGCGCGTCGTGCGTCGTGCGTCGTTCGTCGTCGTCGTCGTCGTCGTCATCGTCGTCGTCGTCGTGGTCGTCGTCGGGTGTCGTCGTCGTCGTCGGGCGTCGCCGTCGT